TCCCCTCTGCTGTTCCTGTGTCTGGGTCGAATGTCGTGTTTTCAGCAGGGGAGATTTGGAAGTTCTGTTGCCAGAACTCCCTGTGGACAGCTTCCATCCCCTCTGCTGTGTCTATCTTTTGTCTATTGGTGTTGTATATGTATGTGATAGTCTGTCTGTTCGATCCTAAGAGTCGTCTGTACTTCAGCCAGAAGACTTTAGGATCTTTTATGTTGTTGCATAGTTCTCGTGTGAGTGTTTCCCAGTGTTGGTTACTCATGTATTTTGTTTCGTTGGTCAGTTGTCTTTGAATTTCTCTGTATCGTGAGCGTAATTCGGTGTTCCATCCCTGTGTCTCAGCAAGGTCCCGAAGGTGTCTGTATTGTATTTTCAGTGTTTTTAGACGATGTGTTTCTTTGTAGTGTACGAGTGTTTTGAATGTTGTTTTGGGAATGTTTGCCTCGCGGGCGGTCTGTATGTCTGTGTACCACTGATTAAGGTGGTGGTCTATTGTGTGCGTGGGTTGCCCCTCGAGATCAGGAGTGTGTGTGTGTTCGAGTGCTTGTTTGAACCCTTCCCAGTTTGCATGTTTGAGGATCTCTCGGGGAGGTGTAGGTACCATGATGGGGTTTGTGGAGAGTGTGAGTATGACGGGGAGGTGATCACTGGATGTGACATCGTCCGTGGTGATGTGGTGGTTCAGGTTTGCTTGTGTGTTGGCGAGAACTATGTCTGGTGTGGTGGAGCTGTTGTCACGTATGAATGTGGGTGCGTGTGGGCCGAGGTGGGTGAGTCTGCCGTCGGAGATGAGTGAGGCGAGGCCTCTTCCGACGGCGTTTGTGTCTGTGTATCCGAAAAGTCTGTGATGTGCGTTGAAATCTCCCATTATGTATGTTGGTTTTTCTGTGTCGCAGGAGCTGATATATGTCAGGTTGATCTATGTAAGGTCTGCGTGGAGGGATGTAGGTGGTGGCGATGATGATGGGTCCATGAGGTGTGTCTATTTCTATGGCCATGAGTTCTGAGGTGAAGGTGTCGAGTATTTTGTGTTTGATGTGTTGTTTGACTGCGATGGCTACGCCGTCGCTGCCTTCGTTTGTTTTGTTGGATGTGTATGTAGTGTAGTTGAATATTTTTAGTGTTTGTGGATGTTTGAGTGAATGGGAGTTGATGAGTATGATGTCAGGGTCGTGTCGTCTGTAGTGATTGCAGAGTTCTTGTCTTCGTCTGTATGTCCATGCTATTACATTATGTTGTATGATGGTGAGTCTGGAGTGTAATGTGTTGTTGTGTGGTGCAGCCATGGTGTTACTTGGATATGTTGTACCAGCCATTTTGAATGTGTTCAAGGTTTTGTTGTTTTACCTTTTCAATCATGTTCGGCTGGATGAACATGTTGCCTTCGTGTAGGTGTTGTGTGATCTTCTGTTCGTGAATGCGTGTTTGGTATGAGTTGTCTGTGTAGATCCATTTAATTGTGCCGCGTGTGATTTCGTGTGCCAGCTGTAGTCTGTTTAGGTGTTTGTAGCGAGAGGGCTCCGTCGCAAAGAGGCGGATGCCGTATGTTTTTGGATTGAGGTCGTAACCGTCCCTGTGGCGAAGGGACTGATCATCGACCTCGGAGTCTGTAAGGTCGTCTGTGTGTTTACGGTGTATGTGTGTTGTTTTTGGCTTGACTGATTGTGTTGTCTGTGGTCTGGGTTGCTGTGGTGACTGCTTGGGCGTGTTTGTTTTGGTGGTGCGTGGTCGTACAGGTGATTGTGTTGGCGTAGGTGCTGGCGTGGGTGTGGGTGTTGATGTTGGTTTCCTTTGTGGTGTAGTGAAGAGTTCGGTCTCTGGCTCGTCCTGTGGGCCGAGATCTGGTTGTGGGGGGTGTGGTGAGATGGTGGATTGTGTGAGCGTGGTTTCTGTTGTGGTGTTTATTGTTTTTGGTGGGAGAACTTTGAAGATCCCCCAGGAATCCCCGTTACCAAGGTCGAGGTCGGGTAGATTGTTCTTTTTTAAAACCTTTTTGGCATGGTGTCTAAATCCTAGACCTGGCTCCATGATGTTTTGGAGGTGGGCATGTATTAAGGCAGTCATTATGCCCACAGACAGGTCGTCAGGTAGTTGCAGGATTACCTGTGGTTCTTTCCTCTCCTTTTTGTCCTCCTTAATTTCCTTCATAAGGGGTTTAAACCAGGCGTTCTGTGTAGCTTCAATAGTTTGTTTAGCTGTTTGTTCTGCTACCCTTTTAATGGGGATTTCTTTCTTTTCTTCTTCTTTCTTAGTTTTTTCTCTGGTTTTTTTTATGGCTTCCTTTCTGAGAGGGCAGGAGTTCGCTAGGGTGCGATGGCCTTCCCCACAATTGAGGCATCTCTTGACATCAGACTTGCAGTCTCTATAGTTGTGCGTGTTGGAACCGCATTCTGAGCATAGTTTTAGCCTTTTCTCTTTGTCGGGGCAGTTGGTCTTATAGTGGCCGTATTTGTAGCAGTGCATGCATTGCACAATGTTTGTAAATCTTTCAGGTTCGATTTGTTTAGGGCTAATGAAATGTTGAAGAGGAATAGGCCTTCCTCTTGAACTTTAGCCGCTGTTTTTGTGTCCGAAAATTGAATCTTCATGAGATAGCGGTTCTTCATGATGAAGATGTCCCCTATCTTTGCTTCAGGAAGATTTCTCTCTATTTCTTCTTTTATCTCCTCTGGGTTTTCTTTTACAAGCTCTCTGTCTAGTTGTTTTAGGACCAATGTCAGTTTTGCTTTTAGTTCCGGAGGCATCTGAGGTTCGAATCCTTTGTTTTTAGCATGGTCGTAGTTTCGGGGGTGAATACGGCCTCAGCGTTGGATTCATCTTGGCAGATGATGACGAATTGGTCGTTGGTGGTGATTACTCGCAGGTTCGGATCTCGGCATCAAAGAGAGCTTGTAGTAGGGCTTCCCTCCTCGAGGAGGAGGGTCGCCCGTTGGTCGTCAGGACCTTAATCCTCATCAGAGCATGAGGATGGGGTGGGGGTGACGTTAGCTACGCCACTGACCCTAGGGAAGGCAAGGAATTACAAATCCACCCCGTCCCTCTTGATGGGGCTGTAGAGGTCGAATGGATGTTCCTTGCCTGGTCAGTGGGGACCCTTTGCAGGGACCTAACCCTAACCCTACACACTGAGCTTGCAGGTTTATGGAGACCTGCTATGTCCCTAACCCTGCTGCCTGACCCTCTTAGAGGGAAGAACCGGCGGAGTTCTCCGGCTCCCTCCAAGAATTGAGGCTCTGTACTTGGATCTGCTCCCTGGTCCCGAACTGCTACAAGGGGACTGGGGCTGCAGTCCTCCCCCAGGCGAATACCAGAGTCGTGGAGACTCTCGTAGGCCCAGGAGGAGTACAGGAAAAGAGGCAGAAAATTGGTTGGAGAAAAAGGGGTCAGAGAGTGCCTGAATACAGGGCTGTGAATGAGTGTGATCGTAGCCGTGGCTACACAAACATTCACAACTTGTTGTTCAGGCAACGACCGGTGGCTCAGGTCAGAGATACACAGATTAGCCTGGTCAAGGTCGCGGCAGACCACGGTGACTTGACGGAACTGTCTGTGTACCTCTTTATCAATATTTCGTCTCTCGGTAGCGCAAGGCTACTATCAGGTCAAAGTGTGCTTTTAGGGAGCAAAGAGCTGGCTAAAAACGCGTGAGCGAAGGCACAAATTAGGGAGCGAGATCGGAGCAGTAATAACTGTTAAAGACAGGGAGTAAAATCTCTGTTTTAACGAGGTAGAACTGCACTGGATCTGACTTCGAAGTTTGTGGCTGCTGACTTGCTTTGACCGTGAACTCCAAACTATGATTTTTCCTTTTATAGTGCACCACCAGCGCCAGCCTCGGCTGGCCAAGGAAAGCGTGGGCCACGCTATTGGCTCAATCCCCGGCCATCCCGCATTGCCACATGTCCCAATGAGACCGTTTCACCTGGAGCCACCTATAAATACCAAGCTTTGCCCGTCGCAACTATGATTTTTGATTCTTTTGAGCAAAGTCATAGCAAACTATCAACATGTCTGGTCGTGGTAAGGGCGGTAAGGTAAAGGGCAAGTCAAAGTCCCGCTCAAGCAGGGCCGGCCTTCAGTTCCCCGTCGGTAGGATTCACCGCCTTCTGCGTAAGGGCAACTATGCTGAACGTGTAGGTGCTGGTGCCCCTGTGTACCTCGCTGCCGTTATGGAGTACTTGGCTGCTGAAGTCCTCGAGTTGGCAGGTAATGCCGCCCGTGACAACAAGAAGACCCGTATCATCCCCCGTCACTTGCAGCTGGCCATCCGTAACGACGAAGAGCTCAACAAGCTCCTCTCTGGCGTTACCATCGCCCAGGGTGGTGTCCTGCCCAACATCCAGGCTGTGCTCCTCCCCAAGAAGACCGAGAAGAAGTAAATACTTTCCGTATTACCTCTTTTCAACTACATCGGCTCCTTTTGGAGCCACAAAGACTAAATAAGAGAAATATCTGACCAAACCAACCAGCAACCAAGCAAACCAAACCAATAAATATTCCTGTTATGTTATCTAGACTAGCAATAATGGAACTCACAATAAAATACCCACTGTCGATACAATAATGTAGTGAACGCTATCACTCATACATTGAAACTGAGCAAAATTGCAACCAAACAATACAATACAGGAAACCCATTTCATATACAACTCCCTTGCACTTCGAAACGTATGTATGTATAAACAAACATATGCAATATGTGTGTGAGTGCGCGTGCGTTTGCGTTAGTATAGAAATACTACTAAATAATAATGACTAAATAAAAAAAAATCTCGTGTAATATATATATATATATATATATATATATTAGTATATATATATATATATATACATATATATATATATCTATATCTATATATATATATATATATATATATATATATATATATATATATATATATATATATATATATATATATATATATATATATATATATATATATATATATATATATATATATATATATATATATATATATATATATATATATATATATATATATATATATATATATATATATATATATATTATATATATATATCTATATATATATATATATATATATATATATATATATATATATATATATATATATATATATATATATATATATATATATATATATATATATATATATATATATATTATATATGTATATATATATACTATATATATACGTAATATATACATATTATATAATACACACATATAGTATATATACATATATAATACACATATATAGTATATATAACACATACGTATGTATGTAATAAATATATATTGTACATGTACGTGTACATATAAATTAAATATAAATGTTTGCGTCAGAAAATAATTCCTAATTAATATAAATATTTATTTTTATCACTAACCTTGATCATCATGGGAAATATGTACGCGTTCGTTTGTCTTGACCATGGCTGACCTCGTGTTTAGGAATGTCCGGTAAAGCGAACGGTGGCTAGGCTAGGGCGTACGAGTTCGTTCGACGTGACCGGGTGTGACCTGAAGTGTAGGAATAATGTTAGATTGAATGTTGCGTATGATTTGTTTTCCCCAATTAATATAATGAATCAAAACGGTAATGAAAATGCGTTCATCATTCAAATCAAAATGTAGAATAAAAATAGGAGACTGTATATATTTATATTACATCACTTTCGAATCTCTATATATCATGATGTATGCATGCAGCTATATATACACATATATGTTACTAAAATGAAAAATTATTTACTTATGTTATATATGTATGTATGTACCTAGGTATGTATGTGTGCAGGTGCATATGCATGTGCATGTATAAAGCATGTACGTGTATCTTGTGTACATAAATATATATATATGAAGAAAAGACATGAGCGTTATGCATAATCTAAATATGACAATATCCTAGAAATGCATACCAGAAATATGACATATATGAAATACAATATTATATAGACACGCAATTATGACTATATTGTAAATAAATAACACTGACTCGACGTCTTACTCTGTAAAAACAAGCAAAAGTGACGAGCATCCATCCAAAAACTGCAACATGATTGATCATTAACAAAGACAGAAGATAGAATGAAAATAATAAACAAATTGTAACGAATAATCAAACTTGGTTATGTTTTGTTATTTCATTTGTTCTTATGTATGCGCAGCAGTAGCAAAGTCACCCACCCCTGAAATATTGTTTGGAATGAAAAATAAAATCACAATACAAAAACAAGATTTGTGTCGTTCTATCCATTAATATCGCGGCAGTTCCGTGCAAACATGTCCGTTCAACTGACTAGGTAAGATTGTTAACAAATGTATACAAAACGTGCACCACTAAAAACAAAACACATGTTATTATATACTGAAAGCGCTTTGCAAGTGTCCCACCGCACTGCCCACGTGTTCACGTGAAAAAAGATGAACAATAAATGACAAGTCTGACCTTCCGGGATAGGATGAGGGCACGCGACCGATGGTATTGGAGGGGGAGAGTGGGGGGGTAAAGTGAATTACAAAAACCCATAAAAGCGTTTATACAATGACTGACTAAGTATACAATGGGTATGACCTTTTATATAATAACAAATATTAGGTATAGATTGATAAATAACTATATTAAAATCTCAATAAAAATATCCTTTACTCACCCCTATGCGCATATTAAAAACAGTTGTTTGTAAGCCGTATTATAATAACATACTACGAAATAAAAACGATTTGTCTCATTCAAAGATGCGATGAACATTTGTAAACATTTATCATGAACACCAAATATAAATATCATTAATGTTGTTACTTTGAATCGTACTGCGTAGGCCTATGTACAAGTGTATATATATATATATAAATATATATTTCCTTTCATATATATAAAATTAATCGTCACAGCAAAATTGTCAAAGAGTAATATATGTATTTTTATTATCATTTATTAATCACAAGACAATAGCAAGTATATTTTGTATCGAAACAAATATATTGCGTTCGTCTTTGCGGCATAACATGACAATCAATCACCCAGTACATGAAAAAAAAAAAAACAACACTTGTACGTAATAAGCTATGTGTAATAATCGATAAATAACAAAGAGATATAACGATTAAAAATTATACAAATATATATCTATATAATATGAAAAAAAACATATAAAATATAACAATAAATAATAATAATAATATTATTATTAACTATGATACAATAATACAGTAATTTATAACATGTACTAACCTTAAAAATTAAGTCCTTCCAGTGTTTCCTTCGAAATTCAAAAAAATCGTTCGTGAAATGCGTTGTTTTAAGTCCTTGATGTATTTTCATTTTGCCGTCACTGTGTCATAACAAACACACAAAAGAGCCTAATTCAAGTTATTCACAATACACACACAAAAATAATGCAAACAGTCTGTATCAGAAGCACTGTACAGGATATGTTGACGCGACGACAGTTGGAATGCAAATGGAGGACTAGAGCTTCCGCGAGAGGTAACACAAACAGTGAGAAGGATTTAGGGTGGTGGTGATTAACAGACTGTTTTATCGTCATTGATTTTGCTGAAGAAATATATAAGATTTAATAATTGGCGCAAGTTTTTAGTTATTTTGGGAGTAATTGAAAGATGAAATGTGATGCAAAGGAAGAAGAAGAAGAGCATGTCGAGATAATAGAGGGATGAAAAAAGGATAAAAAAGAGAAGGGGGAATAGGCCGGGTAGCAAGAGCAGCGAGAGATGATGGGGAGGGGAAGGGGGGGGGTGTCCGATTTTGTTATGTCAACATAACAAGACCTCACACTTTCGGTGTGCTGCTAACCTAACCTAATCCTATTTAGAGTAATAAATGCACCTACTATACGTAAACAATCGTAATCATCACACACCGTGTATAAAATATACCATAGTATAAACAAGCAAAACCATAAAAATATAGCTGAACATACATATAGAAGAGGAGAGGAGAGGAGAGGAGAGGAGAGGAGAGGAGAGGAGAGGAGAGGAGAGGAGAGGAGAGGAGAGGAGAGGAGAGGAGAGGAGAGCAAATATTATTGATAACATAAAATACATGTACTAACCTTCACAAAGATGTCCGTCCAATGCCTCGTTCGAAATTTTAGATACTCGTCCGTTCCAGTGAAAATGACCGTTACAAAGGTTTAAAATCATCGCAGAGACACTACACACGAAAAATTTCCGCGGCGACATCGAGAATGTAAATGAATAACGCAAGCACTGGAAAGGATTTAGGGTGGGGTTGGGGTTGGGGGTGGGGTGGTGGTGGTGGTGGTGGTGGTGGTGGTGGTGGTGGTGGTGGTGGTGGTGGTGGTGGTGTGGGTGGTGGTGGTGGTGGTGGTGGTGGTGGGTGGTGCGCACGACATCCACTTTTCATATTTTCTGTACCTCAAGCTAACCCAACATATCCTCCTTACTACTTTTGAATAACAAGGAAATGGAAGTCAACGTGCATGATGAGATAAATGGGAGAGAACCAAATGGATAAAAAGGAGAGAAAATTGAATAGGCATGAGCAGCGAGAGATAACGGGTGGGGAGGAGAAGCGACAATGTTTGCTATGTCAACATAACATGACCTCACACGTGTCGTGTGCATTCATACAGCAAAGTAACAGCTTCTCTTACCACACTTACTTAAAATGAATAATCATAATGATCACAAAACCTTTATAACTTCAATAGATTTACATATGTATTTGTGCACCAAAACAAATATATCACTCTGTATGATTATCTATGCGTGTTGGTGCACGCAGACACAGACGCACACAGTCACAGTCACAGTCACAGTCACTTACTTACTTACTTACTTACTTACTTACTTACTTACTTACTTACTCACTCACTCACTCACTCACTCACTCACTCACTCACTCACACTCACTCACTCACTCTCACTCACTCACACTCACTCACTCACACACACTCACACTCACACTCACATGTGTGTGTGTGTGTGTGTGTGTGTGTGTGTGTGTGTGTGTGTGTGTGTGTGTGTGTGTGTGTGTGTGTGTGTGTGTGTGTGTGTGTGAGTGTATGTATGTATGTATGTATGTATGTATATAGAAATAAAAAAATAATAATATATATTCATATGCATACATATATATCTATATACCTATCAATCAAAATCATAATGTATATAAATATGTATGTATATATTTATATACATATAAAAATACATTATATATATATGTCAACATACATATAAATATGTATATAAATAAATAAAATATAATAATAGTATGTATATATATATTTATATATATATAGATATAGATATATTTATTTTATGGATATAATATAATGAAAAAGGAAAGAAAAAAAAAAAAATGTTTGAATGAGAGAAGAAGAGACAATGAGGTAATGTATGTTAATAATATATAACAATAAAAAAAAAAAAAAAATAAATAAAAATTGATGGCATAGCCTATAACTTGTGTTCTGTGTAAAATGTATTGATGACATGACATATATTATGATTACATGGAACAAATCTGAACCAAAGATACATACAAATTAAAATATTGAAAATCATACAATCAAAGTTCTAATGAAGATAAATAGAAAATAAAATAGAAAATAAACATACCTCATAGGCCAAGCTTCATGATAATGATCTGGAAGAATAGAAATATAACATGAAAATCAGTTAAAATGAGCAAATATATACTTATTGGAATAAATGCAAAAACACAATCTAAGTCATGGTCAACATGCATACACTAACAATGCCTATGGAAAATATATATATTTGTGCCATATCTGCAACAAATGATACAAATGACACTATATGCACGCTGGGCAAAGGAAATATTGTGAGAAACAACAAGTGGAAAATAAAATAAACATATATACAAGAAAACATAAATATATTGGATAAATAAACCAATAAAAGGATATATTGTATGAAAAGGTCATGTAACTCGGAGAAATATAGTCATGCACACACACCAACCCACCCACCCACCCACCCACATATTGCTTGCAAATGGATGAGAATATGTTAAAAATGATATAGAATAGATGTTAAAGCTCATACAATTGACAGTAATTTTGCTCATGTTGATATGTTAATGACTTAATGGTTACTAAAAATATAAAGATAAGACAAAATAAAAAAATATGAACAACCTACAAATTGCTGTGAAATGTTATAAAAAATAATTTAACGATATAATGTTTTTCTTATATATATTGTATATTTATTGAGTGGCTATCAATAATAATAATATGAATAGCTATCTATATAAAATTGTAGAATTAGAAAAAAAAAAAAAATAAAGAAATGTGCACAAACAGATACAATAATGGAAACACTAATATAGAAATATGAGAAACAAATTAATATTATAAATATTTGTTTTATACCTATCACAAACTATTGTAACTGGAACATAAGAATGTAAAAAATACATATGCAAAAGAAAAAAAGACAAAAAGTATATATATAAAAAGCAAAGAAAAGAAAAGAAAAGAAAAGGAAATAAAAATCCGTCATACCAAATGATAAAGAAGAACAGTAACATTATATGGTTAATAGAAATAATGATAATATAAACATCACATAGATAAAAGAATGTGCAATACTAATAGAGAAAATAATATAGATACAAATAAATAATAAGAAAAGCATAAATAAGTACTAATAATATAAATAATACAAATGAGAAGCAAAAAACATAATAATTGTAATAAAAAAATTAAAAATGGAAAATATTGTAAAAATAATAAAATAAATATATAGATATATACAAATAATTAAAAATAAAAGAATAAAACAATGCAAAAACATATATACATATTCCCTTTAGATACAGGTGCATTAAAAGATGACATATCAAAAATCCATATATATATATAAATACAAATTTTGAATGTGAATATTGATAACATAAATAATAAAATATCTTAATCTATATGATAAACTATAATATGAATGGAATTTGTAAGAGTTCTGACAAATAAATATAATGATTGTGATTAATGTTATTGAGAAAAGAAAGAAATAATAATAATTGCAAATATGTGACCCAACTAACATGATGATAATGTATAATATTGCTAAAATGTAATGTTATATATATATATAAATATTAATATAAGTGATATACATGAAACAATAAGATAGAAATGTTTGACAATTTCACACACCCACCCACCCACACACAGACACCCACATGAACCCACACCCACACCCACATATACATCCATGTATGTATGTATCTATGTATAAGTATAGACATATGTTTATGTATATGTATGTACGTATATATGTATATGTATAGAAAACAAAATAAATATGGAAAAAAAAAAAAAGACAAGAAAAGAAAGAAAAAAAGGAAATAAGTGAAACATGTATATACAATAATTAATTTATGTATTTTTTCATAAAGATATGTATGTGTGCATAGATACACAATATATATATGTATATGAATATAAATAATATATATATATATATATATATATATATATATATATATATATATATATACATAAAAATATATAAATAATAACATGTACTATACTTATGTACATGCACGCACACATATGTATGTATGTATGTATGTATGTATGTGTGTGTGTGTGTGTGTGTGTGTGTGTGTGTGTGTGTGTGTGTGTGTGTGTGTGTGTGTGTGTGTGTGTGTATCTATCTGTCTTTACTTGTGTATGCATACCCATGTGCTATAAATCCTATAATCAATATCATATTACATTTTATCTAATCATATATATATATTATTTGATTTCATGCATAATTGTGTAATATTTCCTCTCATCAATATCATAATTTTAAATATATATAGGAATGTGTTAAATTGCATAAATGATTTCTGGATAACATAACAAGATAACAATGATAATTCCAGTGATATATATACTATTTTATATTGGATACAGAGTTCATAGTCCACTACTGTATCATGATCCCTTTAGTTATACCAAATATGTGGGTGAGACACCAAGGCACCTTGTATTTACCCCAAAAATAATGTGATAAGCATTACATATCAGTATCTGAATGTTATGAAATCAATGAGTATCAACATATTGATGCAGAGTTTAATAGTTATTTAAAATAAAAATTCCAAAAATACAATACATGAAAAAAATTAACTTATAAACAAGATTGCGGTTGTAATAATTGATAAAGACATGTACAACAGGCATTTAATAATAATA